TCTCTCTCTCTCTCTCTCTCTCTCTCTCTCTCTCTCTCTCTCCCTCCCTTCCTCCCTTCCTTCCTTCCTTCCTTCCTTCCTTCCTTCGTTTCCAAGAAACTCTCTTTTCTTGTCGCGGGTTGAGGTCGCGCGCCTCCTGATGGATCAGCTCTTTCTTCGCAGCTTGTCTCAGCTTGTCTCAGCTTGTCTTCCGTAATAAGAAGCCTCTGCTGATCAGACCACTCCCTCTCTCAACACAAACGGAAGAAGTCTGAGCTTTTCTTCTTCACTTCTTCATTTCTCTGAGAACCATGAGCGCGGAGGATTTCATGGYGGAGTCCAGCGCGCTCGAGGAGCTGCAGACAGAACTCACCTGTCCCGTGTGCCTCGAGCTGTTCCGGGACCCGGTGATCCTGGAGTGCGGACACCACTTCTGTCAGGTGTGCATCATCCAGTGCTGGGAGGCCAAGGCGGACGAGATCTCCAGCTGTCCCAAGTGCAGGAAGTCGTGCGCCCGCAGGCTCAGACCCAACTCGCTCCTGTGCAACGTGGTGGACAGCGTGCGCAGAGCGCGTGCCATGGACGCGGCYGCCGCGGGTACGTCGGGTTTGGACTTCGAGGGCTGTCCGGACGGGAACCCGGAGGAACGGGAGCCCGGGTCCAGCGTGGGCAGCGAGGCCTCGTCCATCGGACACTGGCCCCAGCTGGTCCTGGACATGTGTGAGGAGCACGAGGAGAAGCTGAAGCTGTACTGCGAGGACGACCAGCTCCCCATCTGCCTGGTGTGCGGGATGTCCCGGGACCACAAGACCCACAATGTCATCCCCATTACCGAGGCCTTTGAGAACTACAGGGTACTGMCTAGATCCTTTCCTACAATAAACTCTTTAAAATAATTAAATAACTGATTTTTCACTCAGTTTAATTAAAGCTCTGAATGACACAAAGATAAAGAGTCAAAAGCAGGAAGACCAATTTAATAACAGGTTGGATTTTTCCACAGAGCAGGTAGTGTTTATATTGAAAAACACTTCCTACTTTCCCTGGCAGCATTTTCTGTTGAACAGGAAGGAATTCATCAGGTCTGTGTGAAAGTCTGCAATCCTCCAGCCTCAGAGCTGACCCAGATCTGAGTGTTTGGAGCCTTGTTYATGTGTGTTCTGACATGTGTCACTRAATTCCTGCTCACAATAATTCCCTTTTAARGTTCAGAGAGAACAGTGGAGTTTTAGTTCACCAAGAAAAACAAAATAAATAAAAATCTGTTTTGCTCATCATTTATCATGTGTTTTTTGTTTTTCTGATGAACAGGACAAGCTGTCCGTGGCTCTGGATCGAGTTCAGCTGCAGGCCGAGGACGCCACGCTTTTCCAGAAACAGACCAACGACAAAATCCTCCTCATTAAGGTAAGGAAACATGCCCAGGAGGAGTGCATACTGCCCCTTGAAGGATCTCACACGTGCTTGGTGGAGCTTGAGGGTGACTCTCAGCTACTACCACAGAAAACTTTAGCTTGGTGTCTGTAAAACGGACTGAGGGTTAGCCCTGTTTGTGTTTTGCTAAAGTCCAGTGGTGGGCKTGATGTTTCCGCTAATCAGCTGATAGCAAAACAAATTTTTCATTTAGCAGATGCTTTTTCACTAATTTTGAAAACCGTTAGCGAACAAATGGCAACCTCCACTCAGGCTATTTTCACAACACTACACAGTAAAAAACAAAGTGTAACTTTAACACCTACAGAGTTGAATTTAACTCTGTTTCATATAATATTTGGTCCCACTCAAAATTAGTGTAAAATGTACTTTAAAGCCAGTGTCAACTTTTCAGAGTTAATTTTACTCGTTTTAGTGTCAAAATCAACAATGAATCGAGTAAAATTATTTAACATTACAGCTCGTTAACACTCTATAGAGTAATATTGTTATTTTTATGGAGTTAATTTTACACTAAACTTTCTTTAATAAGTACACTTTATTGTGTAATACTATAATTATTTTTTGTTTTCCTTTTTACACTGTGTGAGTCAGAGCACACAGAGTTCTGCACTCTATCCTAGAGTTAAAATTAACTCTTTAAGTGTTGTATTTACACTGGTCATTAGTCCGCAAAACAGCACAACAATGCGACCCTTCACACACCAGGAAGTACCTCTCACTCATGGTGTCAACTTACGGCAAATAACACAAAACTTAAACTTGAAAAACTAATCAAACTGAACAAGAAAACTAACCAGAAAAAGATTTTTTTGCACTCATGAACCTTTATAATAGTCTTTAACATGCAAACACATCATTTCTACAAGATTACCCAGCATTCCTTGCTGAGAAAATTCTGGTCCATGAGGAAAAGGGCGGAGCTTTTCAAGAATACTTCTTTCAACACTGCATTGTGTTATATAACAACACTGTTAAGTGTTAATGGAGACTTAACAGTGGGCGGAGCTTATTTAACACTGTCCAGTGTTGAGACAACAYTGAGGAAATCAACTCTGTGAATTAACACCGACACTGGATGTCAGTTTACTCAGAAATAGTTTAAATAACACTCGGGGAGCTGAAATTAACTCTGAAAGTTTTAACACTGCAAATTTAACACTCAGTTTTTTCATCTGCTCAACACTGGTGCACGTACAAACTGTCGTAGCAGCTCCATTGATTTCGATGGAGTTTTGCGTCTGTTCACCTCGAAGGAAACAAAGATGTGCGACACAGACTGAGTGACAGTTGTGTTAGCGATTAACTGTTAGCGTCCACTAATTGTTTACCGTTTTTGCCCACTAATTATTATTACCTCTGCTATAAGGAGGTTATGTTGTCGGTCGTGTCTGTCTGTCGACAAAATTACTCAGCTTATGGAAGGATTTTCTTAATTTTTTATTTTTATTTTTATTTTTATTTTAACCACAGGTGGGTATTGGGCTACAGGAACACATCATTAAATTTTGGTGATGATCCAGGAATTTTTTTGAGTGATTCTTCACTATTAAAGGATAGGGGAAATTGGCCTCGGCAGAGGTTTATGCTCTCTGAGTGCTTCTAGTTATTTTTGTTTTTACATTATTTGCTGTTTAGCATTATTTCCACTGGAGTTCTCTTTGTTTCATCTTAGCTAACAGCTAAGTAACAACATCAACTATGTGTCAGTCCCACCAGTCTTCACCTCGAAGGAGACGTGACGCAGACTGAGTGAAAGTGGCGTTAGCTTCTGCATTTTTTTACACGTGTTTAGCAGTTTAGTGTTAGTGAAGCTATATTTCTAGTTAGCAGATGAGTAAGCAATGCTAACTTATTTGTTATCTTGGTCCACTGCTGCTAAAATCTATAAGCTGTTAATCAGTTATAGACGTGGACCCTTTTCTGAGCATTTCATTAAATTTGATTAATAAGCTTTTATTTTTTTTTGCTAACACATTGCCCACTTTTGATGTTTTCCTTGTGTGTTTGGGTGGATTGGTAAAATCTGAGCCAAGACAAATAGAATATTCATTAGTGTGTTTTATTGAAACTCCTACAYCCAGAAAGTCTGCTAGCTGCTATTGCTCACCTGCATTCCTCCATCTTTACGTGTCTGGCAAACYAAACCTAAAGGATGACTGGTTCTGGTTCTGATGACACAACAGGTTGTTGCTCATCGTGTTAATCTGATGGTCGTCATGCAGAGGCAGCACGTGCTGCAGGACATTCATAAACCATTTAAACATGTCAGGTTCTGCTGTCTTACTCACACACACACACACACACACACACACACACACACACACACACACACGCGCGTGGCTTCTTTTTGTTACTACATGTTGTCTTCTTCCTTCCTGACGTGTGTGTGACGTATCGGCCAGAATGTTTTTCCGTTCTGTTTGACCCACTTTAAGTGCAGATTCACAGATTTTCACTTCTCGCTCTCTGCCTGAACGACCGGATGAGCAGAGTTGAGCAGAAGTTCGCCAACGTGTCTTTTCCTGCATGTTTCTCTGTCAATTTTATTTTACTTTGCCTGTTTGTTTTTCAAAACACAAGTTTGTAGCACTTATAAACTACAAGTACAACAATGGTTATTATGTAGCAGTTGAACAAAGCTAAACTAAGTTACTGAAGTGCTGTAATAATTTGGTCTTTCTGAAAAAAATAGGAAGATGAACTAATAGGGAAGTGTTTTTATTTTAAAATGGAGAAGATTTAAATTGTATTATAATGACAGAACAAATAAACATTATGTTTTCTGCTCTGTTGCTTTGTTTTTATGCTCTGATTCAGGTTTTACAGAAACTCAGAGTAGTATGACTTTGTGTACGTTTGTCTATCTTCTTTTTTTCAAAACCTTTATTTAACCAGGTCTCATTGAGGTTAAAAATCCCTTTTTCAAGAGAAACCAGCAGCACACAGACATTACTAAATCCTAAAACCACCTAAATCAAATCTCAAATAAATACATCATGGTAAATAAAAGAAGGGGAAAAAAGCATAAAAGGTAAAAGGATTAACAGAGTTTCATATCAGTTTAAACATTTAGAAATTTGAAAAATATCTGAAAACAATAAAGCGATTGATCAACTTTTTACACTGACTGTTGTCCCAAAGACAAACTGGATCCCAGTCAGATTTAAACGGGGACCACGGTGTTGGTTTAAGATTTTAACGTTTTAAAAACAAAAATAAGACTAACAGAGTTCATGTGCTGATTAATCTTTTAAAAGTACTGAACGTCTTGTCTCAAAAAGCAGATCTACTTCATTTCAGCTGAAGTTTGAAGGCTGCTCTTCCCACGTACCCCCTCTAAAATTAGTCTTTATCTCCTTTAGTTTTCCGGCCATAGTTGGACTAATATTAGTTTTAGAAAAGAATGCCGGTCATTGCATAACATAATGTTKTTGTTTTTTTTAAGGTTTGACCTTAAAAGTCACTCCTTCAAGGAAAGCTAGACCTTTTTATTGTGCAAAGAAAAATGAAATGTTTCTGTTTTTGATAGAACAACCAGAAGATCCTCATATTTAGTTGACTTTGTTGTTTTTTTTCCTAGTTATTTGATCAGTTCCTTATTGCCATCAACACAAGTCAAAGTTACTGATTAAAAATGACACAAAGCGAAGTTTAATTTCATCAGATGATTGACACAGTACAGATGTATTTAAAGGTCAATCCAGCTATTAACTGTAATAGTCACCTTTAGTTTAAAGGAAAAAGCTTATTCTTTGCTAATAGATTCAGATTTAATGTATTTTCTTTCATATATTTTTGATATTATTTGAATAAGTCTGAAAACACAAGACTCTACTTGTACAGATAAGCTTCATGTTAGAATCTGTTGTGTTCAGGTCTTTTAGTTTCGCTCACTGAAGTCTGTGGTGTTTTTGTAGGAGCGAGCAGGAGACCTGGAGGAGCAGGTCACTGCAGAATTTGCTCGCCTGAGGGAGTTCCTGACTGAGGAGGAGGAGCGCATAAAGGAGAATCTGCAGAAGGAGAAAGAAGAGCGGCTCAACCAGCTGGAGGAGRCGCTCACTCAGGCCACGGAGCAAATCAGCCAGCTGGAGAGCGCAGCCGAAACGCTCCGCATCAAACTGAGAGAAGACGAAAACCCAGAGCAGCTGAAGGTGAGGGACGAAACCCAGGGCAGAGGAGACAAATAATGAAGGCTGATCATTTGTTACCTGTTAKAGGTTATCTAAACAAGAAAAAAAAGATTGAAACATATTTTCCCAAAACGAAGCGAAACAGAAAAGAAGTTGAAACTTAGATGGTAAAGCTAAAAACAGCAAAATGATTAGTGAAACTAGAAAAACGCTGCATAAAAGTTACATTTATCAAAAACCTACGGGTAGCTAGATATCAAAAGTGGCAAAAGACTGACTAAAAGTARAAATATGCTAGTGAAAATCAGCAAAAGTTGAGCTAAAAGGAGCAAACTGCTAGCTGAAAGTAGTAAAGGGCTAACTTAAAGTAACAAAAAGGCGTGATAAATTGCTAAAAGCAATCATAGCTAACTGTAACTAATGGGTATAAAATGCCTAAAAGTACCAAATAGCTAGCTAAAAAAAATAAAAGTAGCGAAACACTAGCTAAAGACAGCAATAGGTTTGCTAAAATAACAAAATTTAGATAAAATCTAAAAGTATCAAAAAGCCAGCTAAAAGTGGCAAAATTGCAGCTGAAAGTTGCTAAAGAATATAAAGCAAAGATAACAAAAGGCTGGCCAAAAGCTAAAAGTAGCATAAGAAGACAAAAACAGAGCATTTGCTGAAGCAGATTTTTTAAATAAGTTTTTCAAATAAATGTGTTTCTGTGGTGAAAATATTTGTTTAACAAGTCATTTAAATATTGTCAAATATTTACAGAGAAGTATAAAGGTAAATAAAAAAATCACATCATCCATCTCTAAGTTGAATGTTTTGATATATGAACATCTGAAGTGTTTTGTAACCTCTTGATCTGTTCTGTTTCAGGGAATCAAAGATTTAATCGGCGGGTGAGTATCACCGGTTTCCTCTTGAAATATGACAGAATTCCTGATTTAATTGTTTCAGATGTTTTGGTAATTTCCTTCTTTAGTCTCTCAGCCCAGTGAGGTGTCACAAGAGATGGGGTATTGTTTTGTAATCATTCATAAGTCTTAACAGGATGTGAGGGTTTCTTGTGGTCCTCTGACTCATTTGCGTCACATGACAGCTGATGGCAACCAGGAAGTTGAAAAACGAAGCATAAATGCCTTTGCAGATGTGACACCTGCTTCAAGTTTAAAACTGTGGAAGATGCAGGCTTTTGCAGCGTCTAAATCTAACAAACTTTATGTAGCAGTCAACATGATGAAGAATAAAACCTGAGTACTAAATAGACCTAATGTATCTGGAACTGTTTTTGTTTTCTTTTAGGGCTCAGTGCTTGTTTGAGCGCCCTCCAGAGGTCAGTGTTGATCTGCAGTCAGGAGAATTTCTGGGCCCTTTGCAGTACAGAACCTGGAGGAAAATGAGCTCGATTTTTCAGCCAGGTATGAAAATAAAATCACACTCCCAAAYCTGAACAGAAGCTGAATTTACTCTGATGTTTCCAACTACTTAAAGAGATTGATTTTTGGAGTCAAGCCAGTTCAAAGTGCTTATCTGATTACTCTCTAAACACGTTTACATCTGACCTTTTCGAACTCCTATCTTTTTCTTCCCCTCCCAGCTGTGTCAGCAGTGACCTTTGACCCCGACACAGCCTACCCCTGCCTCTGGGTGTCTCCCTGCCGCACCAGCGTCCAGGTGGGAAGGATCCAGTGCGACCTGCCCAACAACCCCGAGCGCTTCACTCGCTACAACATCGTCCTGGGCTCCGAAGCCCTCTCCTCAGGCAGACACTACTGGGAGGTGAAGGTGGGCCGCAAGACGGCGTGGGGCCTGGGCGTAGCCAGGGCCTCCGTCAACAGAAAAGATGAGATCAGCCTCTGCCCGGACGATGGTTTCTGGACCCTGGTGCGCAGGGACAAAGGCGATGGCTCCAGCGAGTACGAAGCGTGCACCGACTTGGACGAGAACTTGATATATCCACCAAAACACCCCAAGACAGTGGGGGTCTATCTGGACTACGGGCGCGGTGAGGTGTCTTTTTATGATGCTGGGGACATGAGACACCTCTTCACCTTCTACAACGCAAACTTTAAGGAGCCTCTTTATCCCTACTTCAACCCCTGGCCAATCATCAACGGGCAGAACCGGGAGCCACTCACCATCGTGACGCCACGCTGGAGATCATTGGTTTGAACAGGTGATCCGAGATGAAGAACTCGCTGATCTCCTGTCTGCCTGATAAAGACTTTATGACTGTTTAACACTGAACTTTATGACTCTGAACCTTTTTAATGACTGGTATTACAACAGGAGAACAGACATAAAGACATCATAAATAAATGGCACTTTAAGGATTTAAATGAAAGAATTGAGACACGCATTACTGTATCTGTGTAGCCAAAACCTGATCCTTCATTCTAAGACCCAGAATCAGCCAAACATTTTCTATCCTAGTCCACTTTAGCAAAACAATCAAGTTTATCTCCTTTCTGCATTAAAACAAAAAGACAAATGTCATTAAGTACCGATTTACGCTGTGTATTTCTTATTTGCCTTCTCCATGCTACATGCTCTGTAACCCACCTCCATCACAACTTTTTATTCTGTTTTCTGACTTCATCATCAACATGATGTCGCTGATAAGGCTGGGAAATAAAACAATAGCAATATATACTAGACATGGGTTTTTACGATGTAAAAACAAGTGTGCATTGCCATGTAACATGTCATTGCAGCATGGCCTTGGACTTGCAGAATGAAATGGGACCAAGTTCAAATGTGTTTTCTATACCAGCTTGTGGCTCTCACTTGAGCAGGTGTTTGTAATTAAGGTAATTGTGTGACAATATGAAGTTTGAAGAGATTTTTGTTAAAGTAGCAGTAGCTGGATTTGAACCTTGATCTCCCACATGAAAGCCCACAGTGCTCATCATGAGACTACAGGAGATGTGGCAGACAACAATCCCAGGGATTGGATTGTATGTACACAGAAAAAGTTTACCTTGCCAATGCAATTATTGACACTTAAGTGCAATATATTACAGCAATAGAGCAGTATTAAGACAATATTATAGTAAAACATCAAAATACAATCATATTAGTGTTGTAAACACTGAACAATTGAGATGAAATATTATTAAAGTATGGAGCAGTACCAAGTTGAGTACAGCTGGGGGCAGTATTGGACCATTACAATGCCCAATTGACTCCCATTATATGAATTTTGGAATAAAGTTTAAACATTAATATTTCAAAAACTACAAGTTGTACAGGCACCAGAAGGCATAGCAATCATTTGGCACAGGACCTTTACAGATAGAAATACAAYGGCAGCTGTAGGACAAAGTATGCAGGAGGAGTAGCGTGGCGAYGTGGAAGAAGATGGAATAAGTTGAATAATAATATTAAAGAGAAACAGGAAAACAATAGTGTGCATTGCATTGACACTGATTACGACTGATATCAATAGAAACAAGTCCGACCTCTCACGGCCCAGCAGGTTGGTGGCATCAACTCACTCACTCTCTTTGGTAAGCGAGCAACAACTACGAGCGGTAGTAGTTTCTTGTTTTTGCCATCATGTCTCATAACTGCTTCAAAATAAGAACAAATGACATGGAGTGAAAGGAGGAAAGGATGCAACAGTTCGAGAGGAAAACTCAACAGTTTGACAGAATGAATCAGCTGTTTTTTCCCCTCCTGGTTCTTATTTCAAATAGGTAAAACAAAAAACAAATCAATAATTAATGATTTTAAACATTTACTGTATGTTCTTAAAGGGACAATATTGTGTGTTTCTCAGGCATATATTTAAATTCTATACCATAATAAAGTAACTATGTCACCTTCAGTTGATTTTAAAATGCTGTTTTTAAGTTTAAATCAAAAATAAACGACTTCTCATTCATTTCTAAACACCTTGAAATTGGCCTCTGTCTCTTTAAGAACCTCCTTCTGATCCCGTCACGCCCATTTCAGTAAATCATCACAGCCGCTTCTCTCTTGTTTACAACCTGGAGTGTCATAGCTTGCTTTGTTGTAATGATAATTCAAAAAGCAACATTATACAAGATCGGTTTTGGAAAATTGCTTCTCAGGATACATATGAACCTTACTGTCGGACCAGAAATTATGTTTTCTGAAGAACCGGAGCGATTAAAGAGAGGACAGCTGGTCAGATTATTTCAGTCACTGACACGTAAAGACCCAGTCCCAATGCTCAGTGCGCACCCTACGCCCCTCTGTGAAGTGTGGATTCAGTCGAAGTGCACATAGTGTTCGAGTGTGCAGGTTACAAGTGTGCAAAAAAATTGAGAATTGGGACAGTACAGATTACATCATCAACTTGCGCCTCTGCGTCATAACTGCGACATCCAACATGGAATTTTTTTAATTGAACCAATATAACAGAACAAAGACAAAAAATAAACATGCATATGTTAACGACCATTTCACATTTATTTGTCTTTTAATTATCTATTCTAATTATCTACTCTATGTAATTCCTCCTTAATGTCAAATTATGAAAACTTTAAGAGATCACCATTAATATAACCAACTGACTTAGAAATCTTTAGTAAAAGTAAATCAAACAATAAAAATAACGAAATCAACAATAAATATTTAAACAGGGAAAATAAATAAAAATAAAACAGTAATGAAATAAAATGGGTTTTAATC